GATTAGAATTCGAAAATCATTAATGTACTCCCTCTATTCCACTTTAATAAATGTTCTGCGGGATTTTTCTTGTTTCATTTTAGTTGTCATTTTTACTATTTAATACAGCATTAATTAATTATCATTTTATTGAGATTTTTTAACTTACAAACAAGATAAAAGATATAATTATTATCTTCTTTATACATTAAAAAAATAAAAATGACATTAATTTTATTAATTATTTAATTAAAAGCTTTCATATTGCATGAGTATTAAAATTAATGTTAATTTTTTTATATTTGTATGTATATTAATGAATAAAAAATACAACAAATACACACTTAAGATCATAAGTTAAAACCCCTACTTATTTGCCCACAAATACTAATGATCTCTTTTAATAAAATAAAGAGTAAAAAATAATTTCAAAACGGTAATGACCTGAACAAAGGAATGAGATATTTAGCATGAACAAAGGGACAACCGAACAAGATATTTAGCATAAATTGTATGTGTATATATAAGATATTTGAAAGGTTAAACGTCAATTTTGGTCTTTTAACCATTAGGATTTTGCATAGTTTTGGTCTTTTAATCTTTTTATACACTTTTTTAGTTGCTTAATTATGAAAAATACACTTTTTAGATCCTTCCATCATTAGTTCATTAAGTTTATCTGTATACACATATTCTTAGTCTCTTAATTTTGTGATTTTATATAATTGGTTCCTCAACTTAAAAATTTAAGGACTAAAAAAGTGCATATATAAACAAATTTAATAGATTAATCGATGAAATGATGAAAAAAATGTATTTTTCATAATTAAAAGACTAAAAAAAATGCATCAAAAAATTGAGGAGCTAAAACTATAAAAAACCCAAAATCAAGGAATCAAAATTAACATTTAACTTATTTCAAATCTTCTTATTTTACTACTCTTTTTTTTTTTTGAATTCTAGTGCTCTCTCCTAAAAGGTCAAATAACATGGACAGAGGAATAAGATATTTAGCAAGAAATCGCAAGTGTCTTTTGTCCTTTTTGGGCCACCAATGTGTCTCAAATCTTTCTTCCGAGGTTTTAACGTGTGTTCCATGTTTTTTTTCAGGAACATAGATGCAACTTTGTGTTACACGTTTCATGAACATGCGTTACAAATTTATTCAGTCAAAATTCAATAGTTTGTGTAATTTGTGTTTTAAATGTGTATATATTATTTAAACTAGACTTTAAATGTGTATATATTATTCAGTCAACCAATTGTTTAAAGACCAATATCAATTAGAAAGACAGTGTTTGAATTAGACTTTTTTGGATCCTACTCTGTTTTGCTCTGTTACAGCAACCGGCAGGATAATTTTTGTAACCTGCTGTTTTGCTGTTTGTGTAAGTAATGGGTTGGAATACCCCTAGTATTCCAATATCAATATATTATTTGCTTTTGAAAAAAAAAATGTGTATATAGTATACTTTTTTCTTTAATTATTTTAGAGAAAATAAAAATTAATTATTATTTTATCAACTATGTTATTAAAATTATTTATATGTTATTGGTGTTGA